AAACCCCATTTACAATGCGGAACCGATCCGACCATGATCCGAACATATCCGAGCATGATCCGACCACACACGAGACCGTCTCGCACCCGTCGCACCGCAGAGGTAGATCATCGAGGTTCGGGGACGGACTTTGTATGAAAAAACATAGGGTTTCGTGCATCTGCTATCTCTCAAAAACGCATTTCGTGCGAGACTTCCTTCAAAACTCCATCGGCAACTCATCCACTTGCACCACTTGCAATCCCATTTACAGTGAGGGAACGATCCTAGAGTTGCAAATCACAATGGAATTCCATCGGCAACGCATCCACCAGCACCACTTGCAATCCCATTTACATTGCGGGAACGATCCTACAGTTGCAAATCACAATGGAATTCTGTCGACCACACATGCACGAAAAACAGTTGAAACCCCATTTACAATGCGGAACCGATCCGAGAATGATCCGAGAATATCCGAGAATGAGAGAATGATCCGACCACACACGAGACCGTCTCGCACCCGTCGCACCGCAGAGGTAGATCATCGAGGTTCGGGGACGGACTTTGTATGGAAAAACATAGGGTTTCTTGCATCTGCTATCTCTCAAAAACGCATTTCGTGCGAGACTTTCTGCAAAACTCCATCGGCAACTCATCCACCAGCACCACTTGCAATCCCATTTACAGTGAGGGAACGATCCTAGAGTTGCAAATCACAATGGAATTCCATCAGCAACTCATCCACCAGCACCACTTGCAACCCATTTACAATGCGGGAACGATCCTACAGTTGCAAATCACAATGGAATTCTGTCGACCACACATGCACGAAAAACAGTTGAAACCCCATTTACAATGCGGAACCGATCCGAGACCAATCCGAGACCAATCCGCCCATGATCCGACCACACACGAGACCGTCTCGCAACCGTCGCACCGCAGAGGTAGATCATCGACGTTCGGGGGCGCACTTTGTATGGAAAAACATAGGCTTTCGTGCATCTGCTATCTCTCAAAAACGCATTTCGTGCGAGACTTCCTTCAAAACTCCATCGGCAACTCCTCCACCAGCACCACTTGCAATCCCATTTACAGTGAGGGAACGATCCTAGAGTTGCAAATCACAATAGAATTCCATCGGCGACTCATCCACCAGCACCACTTGCAATCCCATTTACATTGCGGGAACGATCCTACAGTTGCAAATCACAATGGAATTCTGTCGACCACACATGCACGAAAAACAGTTGAAACCCCATTTGCAATGCGGAACCGATCCGACCATGATCCGAACATATCCGAGCATGATCCGACCACACACGAGACCGTCTCGCACCCGTCGCACCGCAGAGGTAGATCATCGACGTTCGGGGACGGACTTTGTATGAAAAAACATAGGGTTTCGTGCATCTGCTATCTCTCAAAAACGCATTTCGTGCGAGACTTCCTCCAAAACTCCATCGGCCACTCCTCCACCAGCACCACTTGCAATCCCATTTACAGTGAGGGAACAATTTCTTTGCTAACTCTTTCTGTGACTAACTCTTTTCCTCACTAACTCTTTCTTTGGCTAACTTGTTTCTTTGCTAACTCTTTCTTTGACTACCTCATATATCCTGACTAACTCTTTCTTTGACTAACTCTTTCCCTCACTAACTCTTTCTTTGACTGACTCTTTCCCTCACTAACTCTTTCTTTGACTAACTCTTTCCCTCACTGACTCTTTCTTTGACTAACTCTTTCCCTGACTAACTCCTTCTTTGACTAACTCTTTCCCTCACTAACTCTTTCTTTGACTGACTCTTTCCCTCACTAACTCTTTCTTTGGCTAACTCTTTCCCTCACTGACTCTTTCTTTGACTAACTCTTTCCCTGACTAACTCTTTCTTTGACTAACTGTTTCCCTGACGAACTCTTTCTTTGCGAACTCTTTCTGTGACTAACTCTTTCCCTCACTAACTCTTTCTTTGACTAACTCTTTCCCTGACTAACTGTTTCTTTGCTAACTCTTTCTTTGACTAACTCTTTCCCTCACTAACTCTTTCTTTGACTAACTCTTTCCCTGACTAACTGTTTCTTTCCTAACTCTTTCTTTCACTAACTCTTTCCCTCACTAACTCTTTCTTTGACTAACTCTTTCCCTGACTAACTCTTTCTTTGACTAACTCTTTCTTTGACTAACTCTTTCCCTGACGAACTCTTTCTTTGCTAACTCTTTCTTTTACTAACTCTTTCCCTGACTATCTCTTTCTTTGACTAACTCTTTCCCTGACTAACTCTTTCTTTGACTAACTCTTTCCCTGACTAACGGTTTCTTTGACTAACTCTTTCTTTGACTAACTGTTTCTTTGCTAACTCTTTCTTTGACTAACTCTTTCCCTCACTAACTCTTTCTTTGACTAACTCTTTCCCTGACGAACTGTTTCTTTGCTAACTCTTTCTTTGACTAACTCTTTCCCTGACTAACTGTTTCTTTGCTAACTCTTTCTTTGACTAACTCTTTCCCTCACTAACTCTTTCTTTGACGAACTCTTTCTTTGACTAACTCTTTCCCTGACGAACTCTTTCTTTGCTAACTCTTTCCCTCACTAACTCTTTCTTTGACTAACTCTTTCCCTCACTAACTCTTTCTTTGACTAACTCTTTCCCTGACTAACTGTTTCCCTCACTAACTCTTTCCCTCACTAACTCTTTCTTTGACTAACTCTTTCCCTGACTAACTGACTAACTCTTTCCCTGACTAACTACTAACTCTTTCTTTGACTAACTCTTTCTTTGACTAACTCTTTCTTTGACTAACTCTTTCCCTCACTAACTCTTTCTTTGACTAACTCTTTCCCTGACATTCTAAAAGTCCGTAACACGGAAGTTTCTCCCCCTAAACTTCCTTTGATCATGTTACACCATTATATCATATTATATCATTGTCACCGTGAGGGCTTGATTTCACTATGATCGTTGTAGGGGGTGAATTGTATCCCAACTGGTGGAAAATTTAATCCTGTTCACCTCTGGCCTGACTCATACTACCCTACCATTACCATGCTTCATGGTGGTTGTATGATCAAACTTGGGGAACTTCCCCCAGTGACCCCAGCGTATGCCGTAGACATCTCTGTGATGTAAGCTGGGAAAATCTGAGAAATCCGATCAAAGACCCCGAGCCGAAACATGTGGCTTTGTCCAAACCTATGCCCCAAAGCCCGGTTTTGCACAGCGCAGCCCACGAAACAAGACTTTGACGGACAAACACTGGCTTTTTCCCATGAAAAATTGAAAAAAAAGTAGCTGAAACCGACCCATCCTCTTTAACTCGTCCCCCCTTCCTGCTGGTGGCTGGATTCGCATCATTGTCGGTTCAATCCCCAGCTGTTCCTGCTTGAATCTTCTCAATTTTAGAAGAATATCAAACATTCAATTCCCATATATCCGTATCATTTATATATACATTAATATGTATGCAACACATATATAAAGATATTTATATTATATTATAGTATTTTATTTATATATTAATATTATTGTATTATATTATATTATATCATTATATTATATCATATTATTATAGCTTATTTTATTTTATTATGTTATAGTTTATATTATATTATGTTATATTAAATTATATTATATCACAGTATTTTATTTATATTTTAATATTATTATATTATATTATATTATATTTTATGATTTTATATTTGTTTTATTATGTTTATATTATTTTATATTTATTATTCTATATTATATTATATTATGTTATATCATGTTATATTATGGTTTATTATGTTATATTATGTTATATTAGATAATACCAGCCAGTAGTACCGCACAAGGCAGTGGCGGAAGTTTCAAAAATAGGAAACCTATAGGAGGGGTTGGTTGTTGTGAATCACGGATGGCAGAGCGAATCCACTGATGATCCGAAAGGTGGTTGGAGTTGTGTTTTTTGGAGTGGCTGCAATGGTTGCAGTGGTCACCTGGCCGGTCACCTCACCCACAACTGCTGGATGTAGTGTGGTGTAGTGCAGCTGTAGCTGTTGTTTTAGTGTAGTGGAGTTGTAGTTGTGGTGTAATTAGTGTCATTAGTGTAGTGTAGTTGCAGTTGCAGTTGTGGTGGTGTAATGAGTGTAGTGTAATGTAATGTAGGGTAGGGTAGTGTAGTGTAGTCTAGTGTAGCGTAGTCTAAAGTAGCGTAGTTGTAGTTGTAGTTGTAGCTGTAGTTAGTGTAGTTGTAGTTAGTATGTTGGTGTAGTTTAGTATAGTGTAGCGTAGTGTAAAGTAGCGTAGTTGTAGTTGTAGTTGTAGCTGTAGTTAGTGTAGTTGTAGTTAGTATGTTGTGTAGTTTAGTATAGTGTAGTGTAGTGTAATGTAATTAATGTAAGTGTAGAGTAGTTGTAGTTGTAGTGTAGTGGGGTGTAGTGTAGTGTAGTGTAGTGTATTGTAGTGTACTGTAGTGTAGTGTAGTGTAGTGTAGTGGTGGTTGTAGTTCCAAAAGTGGTCCGAGCATGGTGTGTTTTGTACATCTTGACTTGGACATGTGATTCGCGAGCGCAACGGCGTGCAATTTTTCATTTCTCATCTGGCCAGATGGCTCCGCACCCGCTGCTTTAGCGAGCCTATTTTTCGACCCTCCGGAGCCAAAAATCATTGGAAAAACAGCGTTTCGCGACTTTGCTACCTTTTCCCGCACCTGCATCTTCTGTCTTCTGACCCTTTCTCTTCCCTGATCTTCTTTCTTCTTCTCTTCTCTTCTCTTACTCTTCCTATCTCTGCTTTTCATCTGTCCATATTGTCGGAAGTTTGACTTCTAAACTTCCTTCGCCATACACAACAACATGTAATATGCACTATGTACACTATATATATATATGCATTTATACAGTGTATAATTTTATTTATATTGTGTGTATGTATATATATATATTATAAAAATATATAGTGTATATATACCTATATTATATACTATATACATTGTCCAAGACATGTTGGGAACAGCTCCCCACAAAACTGCTCCAAGACGCGAGGCCTCCAGTCGCTTCGAGGCACTGACCTCACGGGTGCGCGAGGAGTTGCTGCTGCGCCAGGCGCTTCCACGAAGCCGTGGAAGCCGAAGTTGGGCGAAATAATAAACCCTCCAATAATTACAATGTGGGGCCCCCAAGATAGCTAAGTTGGTTTATAACTCCAATAACTATGGTTTACGGTATTTATAACTATAGTTAATGGGGTCTATAAACCAACTTATAACTGGGGGGCCCCACATTGTATTGGGATTATTTTAATACTAAACCAATTTCCATAATATTAACACAATAATTTGGGATTTATAACAGTTGGGAAGTTGGAAATTGGTAACTTTTATAAATCTAATAACTATGAACCATCCAACTTTTGTAATCAAATAATTTGGAAATTGGACATGTTCCCCCAATTTCATTGGACATTGGTAACTTTTATAAACCATACAATTGGACATTTCACCAGATTGTATCCAAGTGAGTCAAGTCTACTTGTCCCTGAAGAAGACCGTTGGATACCGTTGGCATTCTTGGTAAAAAACCCTTGAACCTGCAGGTAGTGTGGTAAACCGAATAAATCAACCTACCATTTGAACCATTTGAGGGTTTGTTTTTACCATATTTTACAATATTTTACCAATTACAGAAAAAAAGGGGAATGGTTTATGAAGCTACCCCCAAATCATCCAAAATTTATGAAACCATAAAGTGATGGATCAATACCTACAAATAGCATTTTTAGGGCGATGAACATCCATAACCACTAGCATTTTTGATGTTTATATATGTTCATATCCTACCAGTTGAACCACGGGGCTTGATTTTACCCATGACAATATTGGGAACAGTTTATGAAATTGGCTTTACTTACAGTACCACTATACTTTGTAATCATCATGATATAACTGATATGGTGGTTCTTAAAATAGGGGTACCCCAAATCATCTCTTAGACCATTGTAGAATGGAAACACATGGTTTTGAGGCCTCTATGTATGGAAAATTCCATATGAAATGGTTGGATTTCACCAAGAAAAATATGGTGTTTTGTTGGTGAAAATTGTGGATGAACCATCAAGATGGCGGTTAAACTCCATAAAATAAATACATACAGATGGTGTTATACCCCAATAAAACTTGTGTTTTAGCCTACTAAACTACAATGTGGGGCCCCCCAAACGACAGCTAAGTTGGTTTACAACGCCCATCAATACTATAGTTGTAAGTATAATAAACCATAGTGAAATTAGGGTTATGTTGACCAACTTATCGTTTGGTGGCCTTTCTTTGTAGTGACAAACTGCTGGTAATCAAATGAGTTTTCTACCGCGCTAGGGATATATCCACTCAGTCCATACCCTTCTTGTGGTGGATGGCCGTAGATTGGCTTCGACTTTTAGGTTGGATTGGTCAAAAACACGGACCTTGGCTGCGATAGGCTACCAAAGGAATATGGAATTGGTATGGTCAAGACTCTGTGTGGATGATTGTACCCTCTGGTAATCAAACATGGCAATAGAAGCTCCTCTGTAAATGGTGCTTCAATGGGAAAATCATCTATGGATTGGATTTTCCAGCAAGCCACGTTTGATTAGCCAAGGATCCCAGGGTACTACCACCATTTATTTAAGAAATGATCAGAACTTCTACATTTTCAGTTTACGAAATGGTCTCTGGTCCGTTTGTAGAATCCCAAGCCAGGAAAAGTCCATGGACAACAATGGCGGCTTGCGGGGCTTCTACCGGATAGATGGCAGGTGGGAAGCTGGCAGTGGATCTCTATTCTTTAGTTCTTGCTGCTCAGAAAGTATTCGAGCACGTCTTTAAGATACCTCTGGCAATCAAACACGGCTAATTGGCTGGAAAATCATTCTACCAACTAAATGCAGCATTTATGCAAATTTCCTAATTTCCCAGCTAGCCATGTTTGATTGCCAGAGGGTAACGGTATGTTGGTTAAGATTCGGAAGGAACCAGTGAGTTCAAGACCTGTCCGACTGGAAGTGTAACCTTGATCCAGGGACCCTTGAGGCCACATGTGGATTTCATTTTCGTTCGTTCGCCTCCTATTTCTATACCCTTCGGCGTCACACATGGCTAGCTGGGAAAACCTCAAACGAATGGTGGTTTACAGCTCAAAAAAATAGTTTATGAGGATTATCCAGCCATGTTACCGGAAGCTATCCAGAGAGACCCAAAAATAACCCAGGTCATCCAGGTCATCTAGCCATGAATTGCGAACGCAAATCCCGCAGGGATTTTGATGACTTGGACCTGTCCTTCAAGTTCATTCCCTTGGCATGTTTTGCTGGAGCCAACGTGCTGCTTACCACCCTGTTTCTGGGAGAAAAAGCAAGGCATGGAGGATTCATATTAAGGATTTATTTGGAAAATTTGATAAAACCATGGAAAAAGAAAAGGAACACGTCTTTTTTCCAAGTTGGGAAGTTAATCTTCTGATTGGGTTCCAACCTTGAGAAACTTATTGAACTAGTGGAATGGTGTGGCTGGAGGTATCCCCTGCAATTACATCCAACCTAAGTACCAGAGTGGCACCCTCCGATTGGAGATCGTTCGTTCACTATGTATCGAGGAAACTTGAGTTTCTCCGGCTTGTTGCGGTTGTTGAAATTCATGTTGTTTTGGTATATGGTAGGCCGTGGTCAGATCAACAAAAAACTGGAATCCTACACTTGTTTCGTGCATGTTTGCAATGTTTGTACCATCAGAATCATTCGACTCATGGTTGGTTGGTTGGTTGGTTGGTTGTTGGTTGGTTGGTTGGGTGGTTGGGTGGTTGGGTGGTTGGGTGGTTGGGTGGTTGGGTGGGGTTGTTGGGTGGTTGGGTGGTTGGGTGGTTGGTTGAGGGTGGATGGCTGGGTGGCAGGGTGGCTGGGTGGCTGGTTGGTTGGTTGGTTGGTTGGTTGGTTTGTTGGTTGGTTGGTTGGTTGGTTGAGTGCACATTCTAACCTCTTCCAGCCACAGGGTCACACCAAAGATCACGGGGAAGAGTCACATTGCAAATTTGTTAATGGTTACATGCCTCTCCCTATGTTTTTTTTTTTATGCACACTGTTGCTGGATGGAAAATAGCGCATTTTTATCACTATGTTGTTATAATTATAGTGCATGCTATTGCCGTCAATAAACCCTTTACTATGGTGCACTCTCTCCATGCTGGCTCAACAACTCAACCAATCCAAAACTTGAGTGGTAAGGCGAAATGTCATCACAAGAAAACCACTGATTACCCCGATGTTTCATGGGTAAAGCCTGTTTCTTTTTGGAATGATAGTCATTACAGTTTTTGTACTTAACTAAAATAAACAAAACAAAATCAAACCCACAATTCTACAACAAATCCACTAGCCCGCTATATTTCATTTTGTAACAACATGGTGACACATTGAAAAGCCACGATTTCCCGTATCGTACCTTTCGGCAAATTACAGAAATAACATAGATATCCTGGTTGGTGGTTTGGAACATGTTGTATTTTCCATAATATTAATATATAGAATAATCCTTCCCATTGACTTTCATATTTTTCAAAATGGTCAAAAACCACCAACCAATATCTTAAAAAAATACATTATGGATCATTTTTAAGGGAACCCCTTGATTTCCAACATCTATGTTACTTCACCCCAGGGTGTTTCTAGTTTGGGTCGTTTGATGTAATTTGCCAGTGCTTCATATCCCCAAGATAGATGTTCTTTAAACAAATCCCAGTAGATATGGTACGGTTGAAATGTTGCGGCACACATTCCAACCATTGCTAAGATATTTCGCCATTAGAAAAGCACCGGGTGTCCGGATGTGCTTTCCATATACTGGTAAAACCCTGCCAAATAAAGATCATAAGGCTACTTTCAAATCATCCAATATGTTTCGCTATTATCATGGTCTATGTTCATTGGGGGTAAAACCCATTAGCATCATGAAAACAATTATTTTCCGTAACATCAGCCCCTTCAACTTGAAAATCCTATAGAATTGGATCACAGGGACATTTGCACAAAACCGTTCTGTATTCGGTGGTAAAAACCATGGTTTCCACCCTTGATTTCCACAACATTTCCAGTCGAACCAAGTGAACTAATTCACTATTTAGTCCCTTCCCACGATGAATCTTAGTAGTTTTCCACTAAAGTCTCATCCTTTATTGGAAGATACCCAGAAACTCCCAGAAACATAAACCTCTTCAACTCAGCCAGTCCAATCCCAAGGCTTTTCACGCGTCGTTTGCTCCTCTGCTTGGCTGCACTGTTCCTGGTCGCCGCAGCTGGGGCCGCAACCTCTATGATTGAGGTGTGACCGTGGTGACGGTGATAGGGTGAACCTCCGTGAGCTCCCTGTTTCTATACGTTTTTGAATTGTTTTGGATCGTATGCTCATTTATTTTCCACCATTTCTCAAATGATGATTAAATGAAATACATGAGAAATAGAAAATAGATGAAATTATCATTGAAGTCTTGTATTTCATGATTTTTTGGTGATCTAATCTCATTGGATTCTCAATCGTATCACCATTTTAACCGCAACACATCTTGGTTTTTCGACGCAGGTGCGACCGGTCACCGCGGTCACGTGGCAGCTGCTGGCAGTGCACGCTGCAGCGCCGCGGATGGAGATACGGGGGGTTCTGGTGTTTTATCCATTGAAGTAAGTTTGATAAACCAGGAAACCCAGTAGTACTACCTTGTATGAATTTAATTTAGTGATTTAGTATTGGTTTACTAGTTAGTATCTTGGTCATTTGGTTTACTACATGGTATCATGTTAGTTTAGGACTACTTATGGATTGGTTTACTACATCGTATCATGTTCTTAAGTTCTATATTTATAGACTGACTAACTACATGGTATCATTTTATTTCAAGTTATGTTTAGGAAACCAGCTAGACCCTCATTAACCCCAGGAAAATTGGTGAAAGTACGACAATTATGGGTGCTTTGCACCCATGTTTAGATATGTTGATGGGAAGTTGGAGGGTTGAGTGGCTTGTCCGAACATGGGGTTTGGTCTACCCCATTTTATCCCTCGCGATTTGGTCTGAAAATTGGGTCTGAAAATGGTACACTGGGAGAAAGAAAGGGATATATCTGGATAATTTTTCAGGACCTCACATCCCGATATAACTGTAAATGCTGCTTATGAGGCTACACATCCCCTGTTGAACAATGGGTTTGGTTTCTTTTGTGGTAAACGTAATGCCGCACCCATTTGAAGCGATTGAGGATGCTTTATAATTGGGTTTACCACAATTAGCCCTATCTTTGGTGGTGCATCATCATCCGCAGGAATTGGATCAATGGTCCAGATTTTTTGGGTCAATGGTCCATATTGAAAAGGACCATGGTGATATTAGCCATATGGACCATATTTGTAATATGTTAATATATTTAATATATGGTCCATAATATATGGTTAATATATTTAATATCTTAACTTTAACCATCATAGTGATTGGTATCGATCCTTTCTATCTCCATTGACTCATATGTGGCTGTAAGCCAGCTTTCTTTTCTTGGAACGCCCTGGCGACTCGCAGCGAACTTGTGCCTGTTCAGCAACGTAATATTATCTTATTGATATACTCTCATTAGATATTAGTATCATCACTAGTATCATCAACTATTGCTACTTAATATGCTTGTTTCTCAGTGAAGATGCTATTGACATTATTAACATTTTAGCATCATGTACTCCAAGTTATTTCCTACTCAAGAGATACGTGTTTTTTTGTTTTTTGCGTGGCTTCAAAACAATCCACATAGAGGGAGTGTCTCAACAGACCCTTTCACCATGGCATGCCTCAGACAGAGATGGATTATTGCCGCCAGGATGGGGAAAATCATGGGTGGTTTCACCATATACGACTTGTCATCCCCAAAATCGGACCCAGATGCCGAAGGTGTTTTCGGGGATGGGTGAGAATAGTCAGATAATTGACAAAGATTGCATCATCAAAAATATGGGTACTTTTTTGCAAGAAATGCTGACATGGCGTCAAACTGCTATTTTTCTGTGTAGTTTCTTGTTTTGTTCGGGATGCTACTATGATAGCGCGGAAGAAACCGGAACCAACTGGATGCCGAGCTAAGGAAGTGGCCCTGGCCGCAAGTTCTGTCCTCTCCTACAATGGCAATCGGGTTCTGATCAAGTGACTTGGACTGATCGATAGTCATTTCCCAGTTCCTGGGTGATGAAGACTTGGACTTTAACATAGCGAATCCACATCCTCCAAGCATTTAGTAACGAAGTGCAACTAATATGATATATCTACCTAGTGCTATCAATCTATGTGTCAAATCAAATTTAATCATGATCGAATCCAATCCAATCCCATCCAACCTATCTACATCAAATCTATGTCTCTAACCGCATACTACGATGCCCCTCATAGTTGGCCTTGTTATCAGATGCTGTTATGCACTAATTATCATGACATGTTTCTTTTCATCATGACACTTCCTCTTTGACATTGTTCATTGGATAAGTGATAAGTGACTACTTGTCGTCTATATTCGGACCTGAATCCCGCATGAGACAAGGTTGCAGATGTTCAAAGATTTGTTCAGTGAAGAGCAACTGGAGGCATGGGTGAGGTGTCAACTCTGCCTTGTTTCTTGTGATGATCATCAAAATTGGGGTTTAACCATCAAAAATATTTATGGTAATATTACGGAGTATTTCATGTAATATTCATACAACCACCATTATAAATGCAACATGTATAAATATATTGTGTAATTATATATATATATACGTATATGCAAACAACCAGCATTACATACAGATATAATGGGATATGATGGAATATAATAATAATGATAATAGCAAATGGAATATAATTGACTCTATTCGGGTGTGTCTGAAAATATGGGATTGGCCCGCAGTTATGTCAATTTTGAAATGGCAAGTGAGGATGAACTAAGATTAACTACGGTTTATGTAGAGAAACACAAGCTATGGCTCGTCATTGCCATTCACTAGTCTGAATTATACCATGTTTCGATGTTGATGCTCATACCAAACATACCATTTGGATAATTTCTGGTTGGTGGTTTGTTTTTTATTTTTCAATACACTGGGAATAATCATCCCAACTGATTAATATGTTTCAGAGGGGTAGGTCAACCACCAACCAGATTTAAATCATTTGGTTTTGTTTGAAACTATGGTACCCCACGAACTGATGATTTATCATCATTCGTTCCCACCATCCCATGTGACACCCATGTGACGTTCCCATGTGACGTGTTGGCGCAGCGCGGCACGGCATGGCGCTGGATGACCTCATGGCTTCAGATGCCCGTGCAGCTCTTCATGCCTAGTTTGGGAATGCTGCTGACCCTCCTAGTGCCTCAGCTTGCGATGAATTTTCGGGGGTCGGAGCCCAGGTTGAATGATGTTTTTTTTTTTAATGGGGAATCGTTATTGTGGAAGTTGCCGGGTGAATGGTTATGAATTATCCAAAAAGATGTTCAAATAGCAAAAGTGATGAAACATCTACAAGTTAATATGGACTTTAGGAACGCTCAATGGAAAGCCTGGTTGTTAAGCCCAAATATAGAGAGTCTCCTGAGCAATTTCCATGCGTCCAATTTTGGGTCCATGGTTTGAGAGGATATAAACACGGAAAAAAAAAACTCTGCGTAAGACCATTCACATGGATAGAAGCCTGGTGCTTTCCATCCTTAAATGGATGTGGTGTTTACCATGGTAAACCCGATGAACCTGACACCCTCCCATCAACCTTTTACATGACTGGGGATCGTCCCATTGCGACCGATGAAACGCCAATGACTTTTGTTTACCTCAAACGACTGGGATTCTGGCGGTGAATCCACATAACTATGGAACATCACCATTTTTGATGGGTAAATCAACTATTTCTATGGCCATAACTATCCAGTGGTTAGGAGGGAGCGATTTGGAGCTATGGGGTATTCATATTCCCTATGAAATATTATTAGATGGGGAGCGATTTGGAGCTACCAAGAGTTTCCCAACCACATACTAGATAATCAAGAACATTAAGTACTAACATGTATTAACTACATTTAACTACTGCACTTGCTACCTAACTATTGTATCTCATTGTACTTATCCATTGTATTCACTAGATATCCCATTCAACTCTACTATCAAAATGGCTACCTCAGCCAAAAATGATGGTACCTCCCTCACCACGCTGCACAGGTCCTCAGTCAAGTGGTGGAAGGAATTCCAATGGCGCAGGTCCTGGGTCCGGCGCTGGGGTACCAGATGCGATATGGGCCATCTTTGGCCAGAAAAAGTACCTGACATAGACATTTACGAAACTTTACTGGTTGGTGATTTGGAACATTTTTTATTTTTCCATTTCATATATGGGATAATCATCCCAACTGACTCATATTTTCAAAGGGGTAGGTCAACCACCAACCAGTTTAGATATGGTGGGATTGGTATAGGTAGCTCCAGTTTTTAGGGACATCTCAAGATGTCCCCTGAATCAATCGATGCTGATGTTCATTCTCCCAAAAATCCCGTGGTAACCTGTTGATGATACTGGGCATATAGCCCGCAGATTGTGTTGATGCGACCAGAGCTACTACGCATTTCGAAGCTGGTTCGGAAAGCCTGTTAACAGGATTCAACTGGACCACTAGCAAAGTGGTTTCCAACGTTTTGAATTTGAATTTAATTGTAGATTGAATTGAATACATATATGATCATGACATGTAGCATCATGTAGCCAGGAAAGGCAAGAGAGTGCTTGTTTCAGTATCATCCATGACATCATATGTAAAACCCCATGGTTTTGCACAAGATGACCCTGACACGACTTCAACAAGATAGGTTGGCGCTTCTATATGTACCATGGTCAAGTTTTTAGTTGGATTATATAATCCATACTGGGGGGCGGTCATGAATAGATTTTAACAGGGATTCATATAGATTAAGCCATATGATGTTTGGATTCACATGAGTTTTTTTTCGTAACCGCCACAAACCATGATTTTCATTTTCTGACCAATGCACATATATGGAATCGGAGATCCCACATCATCCAAGTCATTAGACCATGACCATGACTTACTGTAATATTGAAACAATCATGGTGACTTGGGGATTCCCCATTTTCAGAAACCCGCATATATTATATATATATGGAGGTTTCCTGAAATAGGGGTACCCCCAAATCATCCTTTTTAATGGTATTTTCCATTATAAACTATCCATTTGGGGGTACCCATCCCACTTCTCCAAGGGGGGTTCGGTTGCAGGAGGCAATCCACACGGCCCTGCCCGGAATTTCGGTGATCTTACTCTGTGGTCCCAGTCTCTTCGTCCCAGCCCCTTGGTCGCCTCCAGGCCATGGAATTCAGTTAAGTTTGGACGAAACGAACGGGGATAGTTCGTGGGTGTCATCCACAGTCACCAGTTGATCCAGTTGGCGAATTCCTATGGTTCAAGCGAGAGAAGATTTTCTGAAGATAATCAAGATTATGGGATTGAAGAGGCGCTGATTGCATTGGAAGATGGGGAAAGTTTGGGAAAGGTCTTCCCCCTCGAGACCGCTCCCTGTACCAACATCTAAAAGACAACCCGAAAACCGGTTGTGCATAGCAGTCCATTTGGGTCTGTGGGACAATGGGGGATAGGACATAACCCCTTACATGATCATTCTAATGAGAAAAGATGATCAACCACTACAACGAAGCAAAGTTTGGGTCACCCGAACTTAACAGACTACATTTCTTGCCTGAAACAACCAGTGACATGTCCAATTGGTTGTCATTTCAGGCCATTTTGATGGGTGATTGGATGGCTGAAGCCAGACAAGAACGAGATGACCCCTGCATTTCGCCTTGGTTATTGCCCAAGGACGGGACTTTACGGGTTTGTGATGAACATCCAGTGGTCATGGATCGCCACCAGTATCACCAAAACATATCTTTGACGACTTATGTTTTGGCTGGCATACTGGACAACACATGGACAGGAACATATTGTGGTGTATACTCTATGACACTGCCCATAGCGGGTTGAGTTGGTTGATTCCAATTGATCAACGTTGGTTGCCCGTGCTCGTGGTTCCAAAACGCCTGAAGCGCTTCAGCACATACATCTATAAAATAATACAGGTTTAATGACAATTAATGATACCAATTAAAATAATGATATAATGATAGTAATAAGGAAAACAACATACACACAAGAACAATATAGTCTTAGTGTGTATTATGTGTATAGACATGTTAAACACACATGTATCTATAATATTAAACAACTATATTATAATTGTTCATATGGTCCCAGAATTTGCAGCAGCCGGTTCTGAATGATTTTCCATAGTGTGGTTTACCACTCAGAAGTCTAAGATTCGACATATTTCAGAGTCCCACAGTTTTCTGGGGATACATCTAATCTAGTGTTCAGTTTTCATGGGGATGCGGGGATGCAGCCAGCAAAATCCTTTGCCCCAATATTGAATACTCCAAAAAGGGACCCAGTGATCCAGTTTAGTCCCAATACTGAACCGGCTTCCTGACTGTGAAAAATCCGGGAATGTAGCCATTCAATTCATATCTGCCATGACTCACATGACCATGGTTAAGATTTGGGAAACCATTCGGCTCGGCACGGAGGTGGTTGTCCCTATCATTCCAATCTTAAAACCCAATTCTGACCCAAGTATTATCCAGTGAATTTTTAAGTACCAGAGGCTAATGTTGTTGTTTGGCTTCCAGAAGGGTAAATTCAATCGCTTTGTTACGTCCTGAAGGAGTTGATTTGGCGTCCACTGAGTAAAGACCAGCGCCGGCGCCGCCGGCGCTATGCTCTCTTTGGGATTCTCAGCTCCTTGACGGAGAACCCGCGACGGGAACATAGCTGAACTAAGGAGGTCCCCATGGATTTGAGGATTTGATGGAAAAACTTACAGAGTCCTAGGAAATTCCCATACTTTATGATAAAAGATGATAAAAACACGCAGCAGTTTCCGCATTTGATTTTCCCAACTCACCAAATCTGTTGTTGGAAAACACCAGAGTCCAGCGGTTTGTCATATACCCCATTCGAAGTATTTTGGAATGCACCTCGTATTTTCTCACAAACAAGGGACGTATCTTAAAATGACCTAACAGATTGGTGAAATATCATGGTGGTAAATGTGCTTGTCAGGTTTAAATTGTAAGGATATGTATCTAACATTATCTAACATCCACGGAAATTCCTACTTGTTACATCGCAGTTGAGCTGTTGATGTTTGTTCATCCTCGAAATCATATAATCAATATGGAAAATCAAAAGCTTTGCCATATATGTTCCAATATGTTCCATATCGCAAGTTGATCCATGCTACTGTACTGCGGTTTAAGCAGAACATGCGGCATTCTGAAGTTGGTATTAACCAGGGTGACCAGTGGCATCATACTCCCTGTCCACGGACGTACGACATTCACGATCTGTTCACATATATCGCTACGGAAAAGCAAGATCGATGTGGAAAATCCAGAGTTTACGAAGTGTAGACCAAAGTGATTGGCGGTTTCAAAGAAGTTTTCCGTTGAGTATGCGTTCGGTATGTCATTCCATATCATCCCGCCATTGGGATCCATTGGGACCATAGTCCGGCAGCAGTATTTCGATACGTGTGACTCGTTTGTTGAGGTTACAACCATCGAGCCGCTTGTCCTTTGCTGATGCTTCTGGTGCTGGTCCTGCTGATTGTCACCTTCACCCGGACCCAGGTGTCTTAAGTTGGACCTGTCTTGGAAAACATTGGATAAAAAGCAAGTGGGGGTTAAGAATGGTTACCATCTGGCAAACTAACATAACTATGGGAAATCACCATTTGAAGTAGGTAAATCAACTGTTAATGAGTTATTGTCAATAGCTATGTCAAGTTACCAGAGGGTACATCATGTTACATCCAGATATATCCAGATATGTTGGAAATCAGTTGACCAGATACTTTTCTCGTTGAACAACTCGATGTTTGTTGTTCGGCCCTGGGTCGAACCCCTTGACACTCTGCTGCCTCCTTTGGCGGCTCCTCAACCTGGATTCAGCAACATGGCTGCTATGTTGTTGTTATTTGATGTTTTTTTGGCATGTGTAAAATGCTATAATATATATATATAATCAATTATGAGCTTGTATAAATGTGTCGGCATATACAAATATATATATATATATATACATACACGCATCTCTCCATGCTTTCGATGCAGACAGTTTCGTTGGTCCTGGAAGTTTCAAGCTGATGGACATGGATCCCCCCCTTCAGTTGCCAGGAACCTTTGAGCACATCCACACCGCATCTTTTTGGTTACTGGGCTGCAGTTGAGGTGTTCAACCAACATCACGGTGAATTTCGGGAAAGCATCTATTCTGGAATGAAATCATGCTTAGGATGCATTATCTATTGCTGAGATGATGTTGCTATCTATCTATCTAATCTAATCTAATCTTATCTTATCTTATCTAACCTTGTCTTGTCTTATCTTGTCTTATCTTATCTTATCTTGTCTTATCTTATCTTGTCTTATTTTGTCTTGTCTTATCTTATCTTACCCTATCCTATCTATCTATCTAATATTATCGTATCTTATATTATCTTACCTTATCTTATCTTATCTTACCTTATCTTATCCTATCTATCTATCTATCTATCTAATCTAATCTAATCTAATCCAATCTAATCTAATCTATCCTATCTATCTAGCTAACTAGCTATCTATCTATCTATCTTTCTATCTATCTAATCTATCTATCTATCTAATCTAATCTAATCCAATCTAATCTAATCTAATCCAATCTAATCTAATCTATCCTATCTATCTAGCTAACTAGCTATCTATCTATCTATCTTTCTATCTATCTAATCTATCTATCTATCTAATCTAATCTAATCCAATCTAATCTAATCTAATCCAATCTAATCTAATCTATCCTATCTATCTAGCTAACTAGCTATCTATCTATCTATCTTTCTATCTATCTAATCTATCTATCTATCTATCTATCTAATCTAATCTAATCTAATCTAATCTAATCTAGTCTAGTCTAGTCTAGTCTAGTCTATCTATCTATCTATCTATCTATCTATCTATCTATCTATCTATCTATCTATCTATCTATCTAATCTATCTATCTATTCATCCATCCATCCATCTATCTATCCATCCATCCATCCAATCTATTTATCTATCTGTCTGTCTATCTATCCATCGATCTATCTATCCGTACATGCAATGTGGTAAACCAAATAATAAACCATCCCAGCAAACATCCATTGAGGGCTCCTTTTAGAGGTATACCATGGTATACCGAATGTCATGAACCTATGATTGGGGATGGTGACCGTGGCATTGGGCTTTCCTAATTATATCTAACCATCTAGTGTATAAACAAAGACCCTCTAAGGTGGGCATGGAAAACTTTCAGGTTCCAGGTGCACATTTCTGAGCAATTTCGATATTGCAATTTGTTGATTGCCAAACGGTAGTCTAGATCAGTGTTCTCTTTTCCTACTGACCTGTTAATGCATAAGCATGTCCCGGCGTCTATTTTTCACAACCATTCTGGGTAAATGATGATGTGTAGCGTATATCAAACCAGCCCCAGAGAATGGATTTCTGCCGATTCAACCCCGGTAGTTTGATGGTTTAATCCCCTTCATGGTCCGCTTATTTTAGACGGGTTGAATCCCAAAAACATCATGTTGCAGCCCCAAATTCTATATGGCCATGTCCGAGTTTCATGGCTCGATTTTCGTTCGTGCATCGTTTTCGTTGCCTTCCTGGAGACGTCCCTTTTTGTTTTTGATCACGATATCATATCACAAATTATGGAATTTTGTTTCAAGATGTTTCAAGTATGGCTGAAGCATGTTGAACCCTAATGTTGAACCCTATTTGATATACCCTCTGGTAAACGTTTACATAACTATGCAAAATCACCATGTTGTAGCTGGGAAATTCAACTATTTTTATGGCCATTTTCAATAGTTGTTTGTATGTTTACCAGGCCGGGTATGTTGATATCGTTCATGTGCTGAAAATCCTCATCGCTCCCAGGTAATGGGCAGCTCTTTCGCGAAGCGCAAGCTGCTAAGGCTGGCCAAACGGTCATATCATCATGAAATAGAAGAAATGGACTGCAGATGGCAGGCTTATGATATATTATTATTACAATGATATAATGCATATCTATAGACATATATACTAATATACATACAATCATATACATATTTTTACATATCAACGAGATTTACCACCAATGATATGAATATTTGCAGTGAATCTACGGTCCGAATCATGGTTATATAGAACAGGGGATATTAAATTAATGGTGCAATATCATATTGTAATTGGATATATTGGTTCGCTATGTTTGAATGCGTTGCTGTTGCACTGCTGTTGCAGCCAGCCCACCTTGTAGATGAACACCCCAATGGCTTCGAAGTCCAGATTTGTGTTTTGTAGTTTTATGTATATTATGTTTGATGTCGCAAAATTATCGAAATTGCCCTTTCACCAATTTAACCAATCTAGTGCCATGTGATTTCAATAATGTTTGGGACGCATCACCAAAATATCGGAAACAATGTATTGCCCATAGGATCCATGGTGATGGTATATATGCTAACATGACTGGGGTTTTTGTTGATGGGATCCATGGCACACCATAGCAGCACCATGGATCCGTCATGGGGTCCAGGCCGCCCTTGGAGCCCTGCCCTCGGCCGAGCGCATGCTTCAGAGTTCCCTCCGCAACGCCACCGCGTGCCGCATCGATGCGGTGCCTGGAATCGTTGGGTGAAAAAGATGGGATAAATCATGGGAAAACATGGCATTATCATATAGGATTATAATAGGATCATAGGATTAAGATTATATAGGATAATTAATAGGATTATAAATCATAGATATAATGATGGTATAAGGATAATAGGATTATATAGGATTATAATTAATACAATCATATGTTTTTAATGGTAAATGACAATAATGTTGGATTGTGATAGGGTTGTAATAGGATCATGAAAAGATATGATATACGAGACCCTACAGTAGAAGGGTAAACATACAGAGAGGTCTGGAAAACCCATGGTTTACCTTTCGGAACATGATGTATATTCATTTATAAATATCCGAAATAGGTTCATAGGGATTCACCATTTCAATTTGGAACACAGACATTAGCCTCCAGCGATTCAAAAACATGGCTGGACAGTCCACAAGCTTCTGGGATTTCCCAGAGGCCCGCCATGTTTGAGTACCGGTTTGGGTAAGGTGAGGGCTATGTCCAGCAGTTTGGCGTTTTTTCTGTTTAAGTCACAGTCACAGTCCGTCTTGACCACCATTGACATGGTATGTGGATTTGGTTGCAGATTCTGAAGGTTGCTAGCAAAGATATTCAGGAATTCAATCCAAACCTTGTGTCCCAACAGAGATCCTGAAGCCACTTTGCTCCTTGGTCACCGTGTTTCGGGGTTCAATACCTTAACAAAAAAGCATAACAATTAAAACACCCTGAGTTTAGGGGTAACGGTATGATTCTGAGGATGGCAGTCATAACAACTGCTTGATGGTTTCTTTTCACAAATAATCTGGTTAAAACAATGTCATAAACCACCCATGACTGGGAATGGTAAGTTTATACCACCTATAAAAATGGTGATGACTAGGGGATGGTGCGTGCGTTTATGGCATTGTTTTAACCACATCGATGGCACATCATGAAACATCGATGGCACATTGGCACATTGATGATCCCCTGGCTGCCATTCTGAGGACTCGGGCATTGAGTGTTCCTGGTTTTCCTGCACCGGAGACAAGGAGGTGTCGTACAGTCAGTTGGGGGATGGGAAACCAATGCTGCAATATGTTGTAATGATATGCAACCTGTTTGTTTTGTGGTGGAAAACAGACCACAGAATCTGTGGTGGTACGTTTACCCGGTTTACCCTTGCAAATCTCAATGTTTCCGTAAGTGTATGTGATTGTTTCAAAATAGCTACATATATATATATATATATATATTTATTTATTTATTTATTATATATATATATATATTTATACATACTATATCTATATATATATATATGCATCCATCCATCCATCCATCCATCCATAATATAATATCTAAAACAATGCGCAATGAGCTGCACATCTCATTTGGACGCCTCCAAGGCGGAACTGCCCGAAGAGAGCTGCACCTGCGACTTTCGCTTGCCCTTTGAGTTTCGCTCCACCTGCCGAGCGTCTCGGCGCCAGGTTGTGGTTGTGACCGAGGAAATCATGGAATCCATGAAGTTTAAATATGACATCTTTTAAAATGATGGAATACCCAACCAAAAGAACTATTTGAATGGAGAAGTATTATGAACATCTAATTTGGGGGCAGCCGATTTCCGAACAAAAACAACATGGAAAACATGATTTACGGCTACGAATCCTTCAAAAAATACGCACATGTTTCAAGTCCAAAATAGGGTGGGTTGTCAAACGTGTGTTTTCAGACTACCCTCTGGTAATTTAACATAGCTATTGAAAATTGCCATTTATAGTGGATTTACCCATGGAAAATGGTGATTTTCCATAGTTATGTTAGTTTACCAGAGGGTAAAGGAATTCTCCAAATATTTTCCTGCAAAAAAGAAAGGGGTAGATCAACATCGCATGGACATCTTTCCATCAATCCATTCCCCCGTTTCATTGACGACAAGTTTGCCATAGATTTTCTGCACTGCAAGGGCCCCCAAAAAAGAATAGATCCAACGGATCCAACGCCAAAGCGGTTGGTAATGTGTTTAACATGAGGGACGTATGAGGGACGTATGTGTGTGTTTTTTCATCCACCGTTTCGAAAAACCAATAGTCAGGTACGGTGAAGTGGTATGCTTCGGGTTGGTGTTTTTTGTTGCCATGTGTGGCGATTCCCCATGGTGACAATCCCCCTCCCAGGCTTCAGCATTCTTCAGCGGTACCAATGAAGTGCCAGAGGGCTTTTGGTCGTGGACGCAGCAGCAACTCGGTTGCAATGGTTGATGGTTTTATGGAGGTTTCCTAAAATGGGGCTACCCCAAACTCATGGGTGTCAATACTAAAATGATCTAGGAGTCTAATGACTTGGATGATTTGGGGTACCCCTACTTTAGGAAACCACCATATCAGATTATATCATGATGATTACGAATAATGTGGTACTGCAAAGCCAGTTTCATAAACCATCCCCAATTTTGTCATGGGTAAAATCAAGCCTTATATGGTTCAAATGGTAGGTTGATTTATTGAGTTTACCACACAACCTGCAGGTTCAAGGGTTTTTGCAAAGAATGCCAACAGTATCCAACGGTCTTCTTCCGGGACAAGTAGACTTGACTCACTTGGAATCGCGCAAGAAACGTTGGAATTTGATAGGCTATTTGCAATAGCTAAAGCTATACCCAAGCAATTCATCCCTTCCCCACCCTTTCTGGATGTCCACATCACCTAAAAGCAATGCCCGGAATACTAATTGGTAGATTATAAAAACTGATTGCCCAATAATATATGGGGACTATCCATGATAAGCCAAGCCTTGGTGTTGGGTGAACCCTTAGCTGGCAGCTATGTGAGGCATTGGTGCTCCATAGCCAAGTCACGCAGCCACTTTGATGTCCTAAAGACCTAAGAAAAACTATCAACAGTCGATCCTGGGGTTCCGAAATTCCGTCAGATTCTCAGATTTCCAGAGATTTTTAAAGTTGACTCAACTATCCTCAACTCCTAGTGTTTTACCTCAACTCCTGGTCTTTTTGTGTTTTTGTTGCTCTTTTGGTCCCCAACCCCCATCCAGCCCATCTGGCCCATCCAGCGCCGCTCCAAGGAAAGTGGGGATGACCTTTCTAGGCAATGCCAGCAGCGCCGAAGCACCACCGCTACTGGGCTACGGACCAATAGCTGGATGATTTTTTTGATGGTTTATACTCTGGTAAACTGACATAACTATGGGTAAACCATCAATAACTATAGGTTTAACCATCATTTACATTAACTATGGATCATCACCATGTTTAAAAGGTAAATCAACTATGTCTATGTCCATTTTCCAGTTCGCAACCTGTTAGTCATTACCAGAGGGTAGATCCTGTTAAAACATGGATGATGATCTGGCCATTTAAGGGGAGACTGAAACATCCATTGAAAACCCGTGAGCTATAAGTTATTGGGGGTACCACATCCATAATAGGAGGTACCACATATATACTAATAATAATTATGGTTTAATGATGCTTATAACGTCTTATAACTATGGATGTTTATAGTACTATGATTATTATCCATTTATCATAAACCATAATTGGAGGTACCACGGGGCCCCTACATTGTAGAAAACATGCCACCTTGATCCATGAAGCTCTGATAAAGATCGAAGAAGTCAGAGGACTCCATCAGGAGCCACAGGACCCACAGGCTGTGTTGGTCAAGCTTACCCGGCCTGGTAAACGTTTACATAACTATGGAAAATCACCATTTTTTAATGGGAAAATCCACTATTTCTATGGTCATTTTCAATAGCAAACTGTTAGTTTACCAGAGGGTAAATGATTCAGTTGAGTCAAGTGATTCAAGTGATCCTCATGGTTTAGCTCCGTTTTCCCAAGCTGAATTTCTTGGAGTGTGAGAGCGTACCGTTCAGACCGCTGCAGCAAACCTAAATTTGTTCACTGCAAAAAGGCTGCTGTCATTGCAACCAAGGCTAGAAGTGGAGGATTGGAGCAGTGGACAGAATCTGCTACAAAAGCAGGCGCGTTTTTTTTGAAAGTGCTGCCATAAAAGCCTTAAGATTCCCCTATAAATAGACCTGCTTTACAAAAAAGGTGGGCTATCCCTAATAAAGATACCTGAAATGTGTTTGTTTCAAAGTTTGTCGGGTGGACATACACTTGTGCGTGATCTTGTTTGCCGAAACATGCAACCATATACACTGCGCTGCAAATCAACAAGGTTGATGCTATTTACACAGGTGTGTCTGCAACTTGGGTATACCCAAATTGCCACTGAAGAGGGATATAATGATGATGAATGAATGGATAATGGATGCAAAAAGGCGTATCCTATTTTCATCTATTTTCAGACAAGACTACCTGGAGCATTTCAGACATAAGCATTGTTGGCTGCCAGCATCTGATTTTTTTTGTCACAACTCTTCTCGGCTGCAGGTGTCCAGTTCCATTCTGATCCAGACAATGGGCTTGAGCTGCTTTCGGGCTATTTGCCCCTCGCTGGAGAATTGCTGCATGATCAGATTCAACCATTCGATGCTAACATTACCCTCTGATAAACATACAAAAAGCTATTGAAAATGGCGATTTATAGTGGATTTGCCCATATTTGCCCATTAAAAATGGTGATTTTCCATAGTTATGTTAGTTTACCAGAGGGTAATATGTTTTTAATGATCTTGTGGAGCTATGTATATCTAGAAGCCGTATATCATTGTATGTGAATATCTGCTTCCACAATATAAGTGCATTTTGATTATGTTGTCATACATTACTTACCTTGGACATCACACAGTGGTCACCCCTGCGCAGCTACTGCTTGATTTGATCGTCTCATAACGAGCCATCAAATTTGTAGGTGCTGTTCAAATCAGTTCAGGTCGAAGGGTCGAATCCGGGATTCATCAGCCCAGAAGCTCCGGAGGGTGAAAAGAGCCACCCATTTGTCGTGAAATTGGGGATGGTTTATTATGAGTTCTCCCATTTGTCAGAAAATCTAGGGGCAAACCCGATATATCCTGGAGGCTATTGCGGACCTCGACGCTGTGTCAAACCGGAAGCGTATCAAAGCCTAGGTGTGGCCCCGCGACGGGTGGTTTCGGCAACAGACATGTGTGTATCTGAAAATTGGGTGTACTCCAAAGAATAACCCCAAAATCATTATCCCCATCATTAACTTGAGGCTGTTTGGTTTATCCAAAAACGACAAATACCAGAAATTGCATGTGTTTGGTTGAAGAACATGATGGGGACTGTTTTTTGTTTCAACAGTAAGCAGTATTTCCAGACATTGGTCCCGCACAAAAATCACTATGTCATTGGCATCTTGAGGAGGAATACGAAACAGGAAGTGTGCAAACTAGCAACCCGCAAGATAGAAAAACAACATCCAGGTCCAAAATAGTGGTAATATCAAGGTACATCATGTGTCTATCTTTTTCGGGAATCACTTTTAACGATATTCAAGAGTGGCCTTAAGTGAGTTCACACGAGGCTATTTCTCCAGTCATCAGTCGACCATTCCTGTTTGGAGATGTTGGAGCATGTTGAAACCACCAACTCATCCCATACTAACATATCATGTTCATGTATATGTTTCATATATATTATAATATGCAAATCAAATACTACATGTAGATATGATAATATGATATATATATATGCCACATAAAATTTGCATATCATTTCCATATCATATCAATGTCATTCACATATCATTTACACATCATTCACATATCATTTACACATCAGTCACATATTATTTTCATATCATTAACATGTCATTTACATATCATTCACATATCATTTACATATCATTCACATATCATGTACGTATCATTCACATATCATTTACATATCATTTACATATCGTTTACATATCATTAACATATCATTTACATATCATTCACATATCATTTACATAGCATTAACACATCATTTACATATCATGTATATATATATATATATATCATCTCCATATCATGTACTACAAAGGTCCCTCCATGTCAAGTCTCTCGGCCGGGGTTGGATCAGACATAGGCGTGATGCCGATTCCAGTCACAACCAGCACAAGTCTTCCCAGCACTGTGCCAACTACTGTGGGGCTGCCCAGTGGGTTATTTCTTCGAGATGGAACATACATGCAGTCCAAATGTAGTATGACATATTAATTGTGATTGTAGTCATTAATTGGTGTTTAAATATGCGTGTTGTTTTAATTGTTGTTTTGTTATGTGTTGTTTTGTTTTGGTTAATTGCTGTATTTTTTTAGTGTTTTTGTTGCTTGTTTTGTTAGGTTTTGTTTATGACAATTCAGTTCTGATTTTCGACCTTGAATTATAGGGACCGTGAAGGGAATGGTTCGGCTCGCACGGCTGGAGCAACAAACAACAAAGGACGTTCAATTAATGTTGGTTAATGTTGATTAATGTTGGTTAATGTTGTTTAATGTTGGTTAATGTTGATTAATGTTGGTTAATGTTGATTAATGTTGGTTAATGTTGATTAACGTTCATTGATGTTGATTAAGGTTGATGAATGTTGGGTGTTGACTAATGCGAGGAAGGACGTTCAAGATTCAATTCTACGATGTTTTTTAGTGTTTTTGCAGTGAAGAAGTGTAGTGAAGCGTAGTATGGTAGTGCAGCATCTTAACGTATGTTAGCAGTGAGTAAGTCCCAAAGATTCCCATGTGTTTTTCAGTTTGTTTGAAAATTGGGTATCTGCAGTATCCCGTTTATGAAAACGACCATTTGGGGGTAGATACCTAATTTTCAGACACACCCATTTGTTTTGGTTTGTACTTGGCAGATTTGACCGGTGCCATGTCCAACTGGGTGATATGAGTTGCATCCTTTTTTTCGCTGGACCTCCAGGGAGTTGGAACAGCAGCTGGCTGAGGATGTGTTCATTGTTTGGGGCTTGCAGCAGCAGGCTCCGGGACTCCGGAGCCGTTGTTACCAAACGGTTCCAACTTGCTGTGGAGTTGATGGCAACTCAATCTAAACTGGCCGTTGCGTGGTACTTTTCCCACGGAAGTTCCATGAAACTTGAGAAGTTCTGGCTAATCTCATTCTAATCTCAACTTTCTTCAGTGGCATGTACCGAAGATGTATGTTTGATGAAGGCCCATTGGACACCAGTCCCATTTGCTTCATTGTATGCTCGCATGCGTTCCCTTCAGAAGATCTTTCATCCTTGATCTCAGCTGTTGCAGACCTCTGTGACTGCCACAGCGGATCTCCAATGGACCTGGAATCCCAGCATGATGGCAGAACCGGAGGCAGACCTTGATTGAAGTGAGAAGTTGCTGTGGTGTGTGTTTTTTCAATGGAGAGTTCATGGTTATTTCTGGTGATTTTGTGGTGATTTGATGGGATGTCACATGGCAATTTTATGGTGATTGAATGGAATTTAATAACATATAACCAACTGACTTGTATTTAAGTGTCGATGTCACCCTTCAGTGAGTCTGGAAATGTGGTTTGCCGGGTAGAAACTATTAACCTTACATAGCCATCTGATAGGAAATGCTAACTAAAAATTGGATTTTGGGGTACCCTATTTTCAGACAAACCCATCTGGTTGGTGGTTTGGAGCATTTTTTATTTTTCCATATATTGGGAATGTCATCATCCCAACTGACGAACTCCATCATTTTTCAGAGGGGTAGGTCAATCACCAACCAGCCATATGTTCTGAGCAATCATTTGTGCTCAACTTGAAGTTGGCGAAGAACACAGGTCTTTTTCATGTTGCCAATTTGGCAAGGTAAGATGGCAGTTCTCCGACATGGAAAGGCCAAGAATATCAGAGCAGTATTGGAGTGAATTAATTACTAATATTTGTGGATCACTACCCGTGCGTATGCCTTGCGTATTGCCTTGCATATTGGCTTGCGTATTGCCTTGGAAATGTTCTAGGAACGGGATCACAGAGTGATCATGAAGCAGACAGCCATGCAGTCAGCGACATTGAAGTGCATCGTATATTTCCATATAATTCCATCATGTCATGTCTATTTCTGAAGTGTTGTGATCATGGATTCCCACATGTGGATGGGTCAAAACATGTTTTTTTCCATACAGACGGGGGGTGTGAACATCCAGCATCGCATGAACGCATCATGATCGAAGCCACGAATCAGTCGACCCAGTCGACGCTTTCTTCCTATTGGGATCTAATGGGGTAATTCCAATGGGGGTTCCAATGGGAGTACCCCTTTATCGCTGGATGTTTTTTTTGATGGAACATGCATGAAAATGCTATAAATGTGGGGATACCCCTCAGGAAACCTCCATATGTCAAAAGGCAAAAGGTGATAATTATATGTATATTTTATATGATATATATATATATTATGTATCTGTCACCAACTCAAAGATTGATTTGAATCTGAAGTTTGTCACTTGGTCAGCACGATACTGGTACGAGAGTATACATCAGTCATATCCCCATATCCCCGCTTCCATGAGACAGTGTCCAATCAGGATGTTCTTTTTGTTGACTTCCCTGTTAACCGTAAACCGCAAACTTTGGCAATTTCTGGTGCTGATTAGTTTTAGTGCATGTATATATATATACACATGATGTATGTAGTGTAAGGCAACGCAATAGAATATATAGAATGAAATGTAAGTATGATAGTATGTATGTAATTATATGTACTAAGTTTCAAACAGCTTCGAATCTTCCCTGACTTTTTCTCGGTTCGAGCCATGGAGTTTCTCTCCCTCCCAGAGGGCAAACATGTGGAGCTCCAGACGTCGAACGCCGGCCCGGCCTCCGGCCCCTGCGAGAAAAACGACGCTTGGGACGCCTTGGATCCCATGACGCTGTCGGATGTGGAGCTGGGTTGTGACGCGTGCAACCTGGAGATCGATTTTGGCAAAGAATGTGTTAATGTCGGTATATAAAAGGTAAATTCCAATAAACCACCCATGACTGGGAATGGTTTATAGTGATTATTTATGGTGATGACTGGGGGATGGTTTATGAAATTGTCACTTACCCACATTATAATTATGGTGACCTCACGTCCTGACCGAGACGCCTGGAATGATGGCGTTTGGTGGTTTCATTGAATGAACGGCCACTAGGAAGTTTCCATACGGGAACGAGACGTCCATTGGCTATGTTGGTAAGATGAGTAGTTCATGCGGAAAGTCCCAAAATTATGGACGTGTGTCCAAAAATCAGGCCCAGTGAACTAGGTTATGTCATGCATGAACCACTAATACCCTTTAGTAATCCAACATAGCAATGGAAAATCCCCCATTTCTAGATGATTTCCCCATCAAAACCTCCATGTATAGGAAATTTCCACTAGGCGCGTTTGATTAACGGAGGGATCCAGTAGGTACTCATTGAATTTTCATCCAACAGTATATTGCATGGCCAAAAATGGTGGCCAATCCTCGAAACTGGATGAGTCCTTTGTCGTCTTCAAGTGCAACATCATGTTTCAACCATACCCAGTATAGAGAGTGCCTTGCCAAAATCAGAGAGGAAGCAATCAATTTCACTCCAGCCGACACCTTTTCCAAAGTGAAATTTTGTGTTTATCATATGGGTTTGTCACTAGGGTAACTCGCAATTCTGGTGGTTGTTCATGATCTGTTCCTACTATTTCCTATTGAAATGGCCATTGATCGTGATTGCGCAGAGGTATTCGACATTTAGAGCAACATGGATGTGCTTTGGTACACAATGCCTTGAGTCCGGACACGTGTCAGAAGCTGAAGGACCGCGGCTGGGCTGCCGGTAATTGAACATAGCCATTATTGTGGACAATTGCCAGTTTACAGATGATTTACCATGATTAATTATATGGATTTACCTGTTGAACGCAGTTATTTTCTATAGATTATATCATGTTATATCGAATTACCAGAGGGTAGAAGTGTTTTTCCCGAAATTTCTTCGTTGAGGGAGAGGCTGAAGGGTTCCATAATTCCATGTCAGTTTTTTTCATGTTTGACATTGGCAGTTTGGGATGAAAAAATACCAGGCGTTGTCACTATCCGCCAGGCGTTTGTGGATGAAAAACTGTCGCGAGTCCAACGATCTCTTGAAGAAGCTTCAGAAGAAGAACGTTCGAACCTTGAGCGTGAATGGCTGGGCAGTGTGAGAGATCGTCAGCACCGCTGGGATCTGAAATTGTCCTTGAGTCCCTGTGTTTGGGACGCATTACAAGAGGTGGTGCAAAATCTGCATCCCTTCCTGGAAGGCGCCTGGGAAAGGTCGCAAGAGGACCCCATCTTAAGGGGATAGGATTACCCTCAAACTAACATAGCCACGAAGCTATGGAAAATGAGCCATTTACAGATGATTTAGCTATGAAACATGGTGATGTTCCATGGCTTTGTCAAGGTTTGGCTCCGGAATTGGCCCTTTTTGACATGTCGCCAGTGGGTCAACACCTATTATTGTCAATTTGAGTGGGATGAACATCCATTTACCAACTACAATATAGGGTACTATAAGGTCTAGGTTTTGACTCATAGCCACTTATAGCCTGATAGATATTCTGGATGTTCCACTTACTATCCAGTGATGAGGGAGCTATCAGTGCTATCAGTGCTATCAGTATCCATATTCACTGTGAAATGGGGGGCCAGTTGGAGCTACGAATTGGGTTTCCCAAGCACATGATACCCTCTGGTAAACTAACATAGCTATTGAAAATGGCCATTTATAGATGATTTACCCGTTAAACATGGTGATTTTCCACATGATAGAAGTTATGATGTGAAATGATGGGAACATCCCCGAAAAAAAGCCTGGTAAACACAGCTGCATCCAGGGGGTGCATCTTTGGTATCGTAAGCGGCTTGTGGTTGCCACTCATCTTGGGGGATGTGAAATGATGAAATTCCGCAACCTGAAGGAATCCAAGGAATACCAGTGGACGGCCTCAGGGAAAACACAACTCCGGCAATGGACAGAAATATCTGGTAGTTTATGGATAACATGGATGATTTCCCATAGCTAGAAAAAAACCCAATCACCATGGTAATATTCTCCATCACCTATCTGGTACTTTGCTATGGTAAACTAACAATATTCCTTAAGATTTATGGATGATTTCCCGTTGCTCTGGACATATCTGATTTCAAACCTAATTATATAATATATGACGGATAATCCAACAAAAGATGTGTTCTGATGGCTGGTTTATTGGTTTCCTTTTCCACCCTATACTGGGTAGTTGGGTGTACTGGTCACGATGCAAAGATCTCGTCAGAAGCCTCCACAAAGCGCAGAAGATATGGGTGAACATTGTTTCTTTAAGAAGATGGGTAGCCAAAACTGCATGGCACACTGATTTTCACAAGCTAACCATGGAGCTGAGACATGTAGAAAACCCTTGTGCCTTGTGGTAGTGTGTTCGAAGATGTATATATATATATATATAAATCATGTTGAAGGTTCCATTTTCATGTTCAGGAATCATAATGTCTGAATGGCACAGTGATTTCCCATGATTCTCCAACTTGATGTGGAAACCACCAGGTACCGTTGAGCTGGAGGCCCCCTTAGTGGAGCTCGCGTGTTTGATCAGCGACCCCGGTGCCCCGCGACAGAATGTGCACGTGGACACGGGCGGATGGAAAACGGCCTGCGCACCGCTGCTCACGGTCTTCGTGTCGTTACAGGAGACAGCTGAAGACATGGGACCGACCATGCTGTGGCTGGGTGGATCTGGGGATGGTGATGGATGGTGTTGGGGTGGGGCTGGTTGAAGACGGCGGAAGTTGACAACTTGTGATTTTGGAAGTTTGATGAAGTTCGACGGATTCAGGCACGACATATTTTGTGGGTGCAGTTTGCTGCAACACCTGCATGTAGAATTATATAGACAAACGCAGTAGTACTTTGTTCAATGTATTAGGAACCGCCAAAAAAAACGCATTTTCCTGACTTGCATCCACTAAATGCTGATGGAGTAGCTTCAAAATGCAATTCTAACTATGGAGCAAGACTCCAGCCCCAGTTGGAAAGCCTTGAGTTCTTCAATGATATATACCTAGATTTACTCTTAAACAGTGCATTTCTTCGCACCATGGTTGCACCATGACGTTGGCAGTTTCTCCCACTGGTTCCCATGGTTCCCCGAGGTTTCCAGGGACCCATGATGATCCCTACCTCCAGCAGTGGCTCAGCGTCCTGCCTGGGGCGGATCGTACCCCGGAGCAGTTCGGGGCTGCAGAACTGGCCACGGGTCCAGCAGGGACTGCGCTGCTGATGAATTCGCGGCTCCTGCACTGTGGCGGGGAAAAC